TCAATCTTTTCTCCATTGATAATAATGTCCAGTGGTGAGGATTTTTGTTTTCTTTACATTGAGATGCAATCCATACCGAAGGCTGTGCTCTTTGATCTTTATCAGTAAATATTTTAAGTCCTCTTTACTTTCAGCAAGAAAGGTTGTATCATCTGCACATCACAGGTTGTTAATGTTAATGCATATCGCAGGCTGATATTTACAACAGATAAAAACAGAGAGGCGTTTGTACTGCCTCACAGACATCAGAATGTGGACTATCTAGATTCACATAATCCCCCCCCCCCAAAGTTAAAAAGGTTTTAACACTTGTACTACTACTTGACATTGACAGTTCTACTAGACCATTTTTAACTGTCCTGTTGTTGTTAAGTCACACTGAGTTTGTTCCAACTGACAACAACCCGGTATAGGGTTTCTAATGAGCAGCTGGTGGGTTTGAACCATTGATCTTGTGGTGAGAAGTTCAGTGCTTATGCTCCAGTGCCACAGTATTGTATGTTTACTATGTGTGTATTTATATATGTTATTGTTGTTAAGTGCCATGGAGTCAGTTTCAACGCACAGTGACCCTGTATAGGGTTTCCAATAAGCGACTGATAGGTTTGAACTGCCGACCTTGTGATTCAAACTGACCTATGGTACAGAGCTTATCCCACAGTGCCACATCAGGACTCCTCAATACTTAGTATGTGTATATTTAGGAGTCCTGGTGTGGCGCTGTGGGACAAAGCACTGAACTGCAAGGTCAGTTTGAACCACAAGGTTGACACTTCCAAGCTGCTTCTTGGAACCCCTATACAAGGTCACTATGAGTCAGAACTGACTCAAGGCACTTCATAACAACAACATGTGTGTATTTATACACACAGAAAATATAAAGGAAGGATCAGTGAAAATCCTCTTAAAACTGGATTATTCATTTTCACTCAAGGATAGGTTTTATTGTTGTTAAGTTTCACTTAGTCGGTTCCAACTCATAGCTACTCTATATGATTGCTGAGGCAAGAGCAAAAAGCTGCATCTTTCTCAGGCGGAGCTGCTGGTGGACTTGAAGCTCTGACAGGTGGTCAGCAGTTCAGGAGACTGGAAAGAACCAAGGGTAATGCAATAGCTACAGAAAAAAGAACAACTCAGAAATGGCAAACATATGAAGAGAGAGATCCAAAACAAAAAACTAAGATGTGGAAAGAGAAAGACAAAACAGACACCCACAAGACACGATGACAACATGCAGAAGGAAGAACATACATCACTATGTGCATGCACTCCCACAGACTAAAGAGCAGGTGCAGGTGGTAAAGGCTCCCCGGAACAGGGGAGAGCAAAAATTGTCTTTTTCACAGTTTTCAGTGTATTAAAATTTTTCTACAGACAAACCCTGTTATTTTCATGTAGTAGAAAATCTTAGTGTTTATGTCTGCTTCTTTTAAAACAAGACATGAGACACAGATATTAGCATATATAAGAAGAAAAAAGTGTCCACCTTTTCTGAGTCCTCAACAGCTCTCTCGGCATCTGATAATCCCAGGTCACTGGCAATATTCTTGTCCATAGACTTCGATGCAAATGATGCCTCCTTCTCCTCTTCACTATCACGGAACAAAGAAGGTGGTGCCTGAGCAACTGTCTCTTTTTTCTACCAAAAGAAGATTAATCAATGTCATGAAAAATAAAAAATTATATCTGACTGAAATAGCAAGAAAAAAAACCACACTTTTATTTAGTATATTGGCTAATATGGTGGCGGGAGAGTGGGACAAGGACAGTGAAGCTGGCACACGCAAAAAAACTCAAATAATCCCAGATAAATCAACAAATAAAACCTTGGTCCTATAGAGATGGCAAGTCATCGTTTCTGTCAACATCCTCTGCAAATCTCCTAGTCTCTGCCAAGCCCTATACTGTCCTAGCTTAAGCCCTTTTTCTGCCATATAGTTACTTGTCATTCCTCTGTCTCATCCCTCTGACATTTTAAATATCCCCCTCACACTTAGCTAGAGCTACCTTGCTAAAATAAATATCCATCCACTTCTTGTTGCTGTTGTTAGGTGCCATTAAGTGGGCTCTGAGTCACAGCATGAAACACCCCCTGAGCCTGCACCCTCCTCACGTTGTTGTCACTACACCGAAGCCCACTGCTGCCTGCTACTGTGGCAGTCCATCTTGTTGGGATCCTCCTCTTCTTCACTGACCCTGCATTTTACCAAGCGTGATGTCCTTCTCCAGGGACTGGTCCCTTCTGCTAAAATGTCCGAAGTATGAAAGATGATGTCTCATCATCCTGGCTTCTGAGGTGCATTCTGGCTGTACTTCTTTCTACATAGATTTGTTTGTTCTTCTGGAAGTGCGTGGTACTTTCAATATTTTTCTCCAATACCTTAACTCAAATACATCAATTTTTCTACAGTCTTCCTAATTCATTGTCCAACTCTCACATTCATATGAGGCAATAGAAAATACCATGGCTTGGGTCAGGCACAGCTTAGTCCTCAAACTGATTTGAATCTTTGCTCTAGAACACTTTTAACATGTCTTGTGTTACAGATTTACCCAGTGCAATATGTCATGTGATCTCCTGTTTTGTTTTTTCCATTTCCATAATACTTTATTCAAAAATGATAAGGCTCTGTAGGAACAAGGAACATTCTAACTCGGAAGAGGAAGTTGAAATGTTTTACAGTTTTAAGACAAGGAGGTCTGTCAAATTCCAACATTTCTAAAAATATGAAGAGGGATTTCTTTTTATGCAGATTAGCAGTCATCGCTCAGGTAGTTCACATTTTATCCACAAGGATAAAAGAGAAATAGTTAGGAATAATGCCATGTGTAGAGTTGATGCACAGCTTCCAGGGACAAGTATCGGTGTAGAACCCAGGCATTCTCAGGTTGTTGATGTTGTTTTCACTGCTGTTTTCTTGAGTGTTGATTATAGGTCCAAGCAAAAGAAGTCTTTCACAACTTCAACCTTTTCTGCTTTATTATGATGTATTAACTGGCTCAATTGTGAGGATTTTTGTTTACATTGAGGAGCAATCTGTACAGAAGGCTGAAGTCTTTGATCTTCATCAGGAAGTATTTTTAGTCCTATTCACTTTTGGATTATTTTATCCTAGTCCTAACTCTGACTGTTTGGATTAAGCAACTATTATGCATGACAGTCAACAGATACTCACCACATCCTTACCTTCATCTGCACTGTTACTGTTGTTGCCGCTAGGTGCCATTGAGTAGATTTTGACTCACAGCAACCCAACACATAATAGAACAAAACACTGCCCAGTCCTGTGCCATCCTCACAATCTGTTTTGTTTGATCATTATTGCTGCCATCTCATTAGGGATCGTCCTTGTCTTTCATTGACCTTGTTTTTCATTCACTTTGTCAAGCATGATGTTCTTGTCTAGGTACTGGTCCCTTCTGAAAATACTTCTGAAATACGAGAGATGAAGTATCACCATTCTTACTTCTAAAATGCATTCGGTCTGAACTTCTTTTAATACAGATTTATTTCTTTTCCTAGCAGCCCATGGTACTTTCAATATTCTTGGGTAACATCATAATTCAAAGGCAGTCTTCCTTAATCACTGTCTGACTTTCACATTTACATGAGGCTAATTAAAAATACCATGGCTTGGGTAAGGTGCATTTTAGTACTAAAATTGACATCTTTGCTTTTGAATACTTTAAAGAGGCCTTTTACAGCAGATTTACCTAATGGAATACATCATTTAATTTCCTAACTACTGCTTCTATGATTATTCACTGTGAATCCAAGCAAATGGAAATCTTTGAAAACTTGAATCTTTTCTCCATTTTCTAGTATGAGGATTTTTATTTTGTTTACATTGAGAAACAATCCACATTGAAAGTTGTGGTCTTTGATCTTCATCAGTTAGTGTTTCAAGTCCTCTTCCCTTTCAGAAACAAGGTTGTTTCATCTGCATATCACAGGTTCTTAATGAGTCTTCTTCCAATCCTGATGACATGTTCTTCTTATAATCTAGCTTCTCGGATTATTTACTCAACATACAGATTGAGTAAGTATAAAAGTGAAAAGCTACAACCCTGGCGCACCCCTTTCCTGGTTTTAAATAATTTGGTAGCCCCTTGGTCTGTTCTAACTACTTCCTCTTGGTCTATGTACAGGTTCATGAGCACAATTAAGTGTTCTGGAATGCCCATTCTTCACAATGTTATTCAAACTGTTATCTTCCACAGTCAAATGACGTTAATGAATAAAGCACAAGTAAAGAGCTTTCTGGTATTCTCTCTGATTTCAAACAAGATCCATCTGAAGTCAGAAATGATATCCATCATATATAATCATCTGCACTATTCCACCCTAATTTCTTGCCATTCCTTACACCAACTATGCACTTTCACACTCTCAAGCTTGCTCCCCTCACTGTCTTATAGAGCACATTTTCCTCAATTTTCAAGGTCCAATTGAAATGTTGTGACCCATGAAGCTTTTCCTGGCCCCTTCAGTAATTATCAGTTGCTTCATTAATAAGCATATTATTTATATTTCACACCTTAAGGTCAGCGGTTCGAAACTACCAGCTGCTCCGCGGGAGAAAGATGAGGCTTTCTACTCCCGTAAAGATTTACACCCTCGGAAACCCTGTACAGGGTCGCTATGGGTCGGAACCGACTCGACGGCACTTAACAACAACAACAACAAGCCCTTACTTTACTAACTGAAATAGCTATCACAGTTCTGTTACATCCGTTGGCTTGATGGAACCAAACTGTATATTTCCATGGCCAGTTTCATTGTTTAGTAGTTGCATAATACAAGTTTGCAAGCACTCAAGCCCATCTCTCAGCCATTCCTTATCTAGGAGACAGAGATTATCCAAATTAGGTATTTGATTTACCTACAATTATCAGCATCCCCAGGCAAAGTGATTTATCAAACACTTTTGAGAAAAAAACTACCATACTAACAGAAATGAATGGTATGAGGAAGAAAACGTTTAAATAACATCTAAACCAAGTTGAACGAGCCCTGGCAGCATAGTGGGTTACAAATTGGGCTGCTAACTTTAAGGTCAACATTTCAAATCTACCAGCCGCTCTGTGGACAAAAGATGAGGCTTTCTGCTCATGTAAAGATTTACCACATCTGCAAACCTACGTGTCGATAAGAGTCGGAGATGATTCCAAGGCACTCAACCACCACCAAACCAAGCTGGGACAGAAGACTTAGGAAACCTTAAGGGCAATACTAGTTATGGTAGAGGAAAAAAGTGAGGAATGAAGTTAACAAGAGTGGGAGGTAAGGGAAAATATAAGTAATGTTAGGGAGAAGTCCTTAAAATGTGAAATTATTTGAACTTGATGTAAAAGAAGACATGAATTTCAGAAAAAAATATCTTGGAACGCTGAAAGGTTTAAAAGGAAAATAAAACTGTGCAATGTGCTAGATTCACTAAAAATGATCTAGGTTAAGTCCAAGTTGATTGGAGTAAAAAAGACACTTATATACAGGGAGCTGTAGTGTCCCTTCATATAAGAGTGGTTCTTAAACCTAGAAGAAAACCACCCAAACTACTATAGTTTTATATCTTCCTAAAGAAAATCCAACTCCTCTCTTTACCATAAAATTTAATTTCTTAATAACTTACCATAGTCATGTTTTAACTTACTTTAAATTAGCCTAAGGTCACTACACAAAAACTCTTTTTTTCTACTGTTCTCTAAAGGTGATTATAGTTCACAAATGGTGAAAATCATGTGCGTAGTCTATTCAGATACTTAGATGTATATCTTGGCCTTTTTGTTTAACCATCACAATTACCATGTGAATAAGGAGTGTTCCGACCGCAGAGTTGGTTCTGACTCATAGCGACCCAGCATAGGATTTCTTAGGCTGAAAATATTTAGGGGAGCAGGAAACCTCTTTCTCCCACAGAGATGTTTGTAGATTTCAACAGCTGACCGCAGGGTTAACAGCCCAAACCATAACCTAGCTCCATTATGATGGAGCACTACCAGCTCCATCATAATTACCATAGGCTGATAAAAGTTTTATATTTCTAAAGCCTTCAAAATTTACTAAATTATTTCTTATTTATGAAGTTACTATTAACAGTTTATAAAGGAAACAAAATAAAATCTGACTCTTCTAAACCATGGAGCAGGCCTAGATGATGCCAGGAAAGGATTGAGCACTCAAAAGGAGAAGCAGTAAGCCCAGAGCCCAAGGAAGGCCACATGCGTCACACTGCTGAAAAGTTCTAGTTCAAGTGTATGAAAATAAGGTGAGGAAAGTGTTATTAATTCTCAATAGGCATGTGCTGGGTCTGGGGAGATTTCATAAGTCAGATCGACATTTATATTAACTCTAAAAACACAAGGACTTTTCCAGGAAAAAGAAGCAACAGCTTTCTTCAGATATACCCTGGAGCAGGATGAGCTACCTAAGTAACAAGAGCATAGAGTGGTGGAGGCTGAAAAGGCTGGGATGTGTTTGAAGAAGACTACAGTCACCATTGTGGGCTCAATTGTGGCATTTTAATTAGATTATGAAATGACTAACATGTTGGGGTTTTTTTGGTTAGTTGGGGGTTTTTTTAGATGTGTTTTTAAGAGAATTATGGAGTCCTGGTGTGGCGCTATAGGAGAAAGCACTGGATCTCAAGGTTGATTTGAACCACAAATTTAGTGGTTCAAACTCACCAGCTGCTCCTTGGAAATCCTATATAGAGTCGCTATGAGTCAGAACTGTCTCTACGGCACTTAACAAAAACAACAACATGACAACAACAAGGGCACTAGATTGAAAAGAAGGTACATACACAGAGAGGCTAGATACGAATTGATCTTTAGTCAAGGCTAAAGATGACAAGGAAGCAGTCTTGGGAAGAAACATCTCTGGCATAAAACTAGCAGGACAGGCTAACTGATTATCAGTGAATTAAAGTTATGGATTGAATTGTGTACCCCACCACCACCACCAAGTATGTATCAACTTGGCTGAGCCATGATTCTCAGTGGGTTGATAGATATTTAATAATGCAATGTGCAGTTATGCACGGAGTCCTGGTGTGGTGCTGTAAGATAAGCAAGGGACTGCTAACCACTAGGTTGTTGGTTCTAACCCACCAGTCGCTCTTCAGAAACCCTATACAGGGCCACCATGAGTCAAGAAACAACTCAACAACACTTAATATAAGCAAAAGCTGTGCATACATCCCCCATGATGTGAAAAGTCAGTGAGAAGATCAAGGGTAGAATGCAACACACAGCCCTGATGGATGTAAAGGGAGCTTCCTATGGGGACGGCCTGTAACACCTTTTGCTCACAAGAAATAAAAGGAGAAGAGAAGTGAGCAAAGATCAGAGGGACTTAATACCACCCAGAAAAAAGCCCAGAGTAGAACACATCCTTTGGACCTGGGGTCCCTGCACAGAGAAACTAGACCGAGGGGAGACTGCTGGCAAGACACACAGAGCTCTCCAAGCAACGCTGGGCCGGCAAAGCTGAAAGGAGCCAACAACAACAAAAGCTTCTCCCGAGAGCCTGCCTCCAGAACTGAGAGAGAAGAGATCTGTTTGTTAAAGGCATTCCCTTGTGGTGTTTCTGTTACAGCAGCAAGGGAGAACCACAGTTCATGTGTCCCACTACTGTCTACTACAGAATACACAGCAGTAAAAAAGAACTAGAGCTGTTAGAAACAAAAAATGTGCTGCTGAACAAAAAAAATGTATGATAATCTCATTTAAATTAAAAAAAAACATAACCAAAACAAAAAACCAGTACAAACATATGTGAATCTCTAGAAAGAGGTCTGAAATGACAAGTAACACATTATTACCAATGACTGTCTCTTGGAAAGAGTATACAATGGGGACTTTTACCTTTAATACATTTTTAAAACATCTTTTAAAAGAACATGTTCATAATTCACAATAAAAAATTGAAAAAAAAACCGTTAATTTATAACTATATAATTAAAAATAAACTTTAATGTTCAGGAGGTATTAAAGGACCTCTGGTAGCATATTAAAGGACCTCTGGTTACGAGTTGGGCTGCTAACCTCAAGGTCAGCAGTCCGAAACTACCAGCCATTCCTCGGGAGTAAAATGAGGCTTTTTACTCCTGTAAAGATTTACAGCCTCGGAAACCCCACAGAGGGTCGCTATGTGTCAGAAGTGACTCTACAACACAGAAGCACCACCCCCAAAGGTAACCACCACCAGCCTCTAAAAAGAAGGAAGTTCTCTGTTGCTCTGCTCCCAAATTCCCCTTTACTGCATCCCCAAGATGGTGGGGTGTCAGAGACTTCCTCAGGGTCACCAGGGTAGGAGGGGCAAGGTCCCTCTTCTGCCCTTCTGGACTCCTGGCTGATCCCAAATGGAAGGAAGACTGGAAGCTTATACCTCTATTCCTATGTGGCACATCTTTCTGCTTCTAACACATTTAATTACATTGAAGTGGTTTAAGGTTGGAGTTGAAAGCAGTCTCGGCAGGCTTTGGAATCTGCTTGATCTTGGCCTTTAGGGCTAGCCCAGCTCAGGTAAAGGAGGTCTCCACAGGGTTTAGCCTATGAAGTTCTCAATTTCTCTTTATGGCTGCTGGCAACTGTCAGTTGGTGACAGAATATTATTTCATCTCACTTTGCTCCTTGTGCATAAACTCACATCAACCTACACAGGGAATACACTGGGGAGGGATAAGTGATGGGCCAAATGTCCAGTATGCCTCGGTTCCTGGACAAATACTATACTGCCACCTTACTCTCGCTCCTTACCGTGCATTTTTGATATAACTAACATCAAGGATGGTGTCCTGGTGTAGAGCTGGGGGTTAATGCACTGGACTGCAAAGCTAGCTTGAACCACAAGGTTGGCAGCTCAAACCCATCAGCCACATCTCCAAAACCCTATTTACACAGGGTCACTATGCATTGGAACTGACTCAATGGCACTTAACAACAAGAACAAGGATGGGTGATGCACTAAATGCATTCAGCTGCTAAACAAAATATTGGAGGCTAGCAAGGAAGAAAGCCCTGTCATTCCACCTGGGAAAAGTCAGTCCTTGAAGCCCATGGTCCTGCTCTGACACACAGGGCTTTGCCATGAGTCAGAATCAATAAAACAGTAATCATTCTTGTTGTCATAAGTAGGGTAACTGCATTTTTTAATTTGTGATTTGTGGCATTATGTCATTCAGACTTAATCATTAGAAGGGGACGTAGACTGTGGAGCCATTGAAGGCGTATAAATAAAAGGCAACCTGTCCTTGTGCAGCATCACCCCTGTTAAAAGGGATCACTTGTGCCTTAACAGGTCTAGTGCAGCATCAGTGGAATGGACATGCTAAAAAATCCCCTCTGAGACCTGAGACAGTGATCGCCTTGAAAACTCAAGACTCTAGTTTCTGATCCTTATGTTGCTGTTGTTAAGAGCCACTGACTAGGTTCTGACTCATAGTGAGTGATTCTGTATCAGGGTGTCCAGGGAGCAGCTGGTGGGTTTGACTTTCTGACCTTTGTGCTCCAAACCTACAGCACCACACCATGAAATGGCTGTATAATCCTTCCTGTAGGCTTTGCTTCATCTATAAAACATTACTACCCGATCCCTTTCTCAACTAGGCAAACGATATTTTCTGTAAAACTCAGCCTACGAAGTCAAGTTTTAAGAACTGATTCAGAAAGCAGCATCGTTCATTTAACATAACCCCAAGGGTATTTGCTGGGTCTAAGAGGCTAAGAATACCACTGTTGTCGGAGAAACGGATGTGGAAGAAGGGCCAAACAGAAAGCCTCCACTATCACCATCGTCTTCAAAGAGGAGCGACACTCTCTGGGTCTTCTTTTTGCTATACAAACAAACAAAAGGAAAAATTAAAGGCAAATCTAATTTTTAAATAACA